CTTAAACACTCCACCAAAAGACCGTTAGAACTGATAAATGAATTTACTAAAGCTACAGGACACAACATCAGCATGCAAATATTGGTAGCATTTTACACACGAATAACAAATGTGGTAACAAAGAAACTTCATTCATAATAGCTACCAAAAATATAAAATACATAGAAATAAATCTACCTGAGGAAGTGAATGATTTCTTCAATGAAAATTACAGAACACTAATGAAAGAAATTGAAAACACAAAAAACAGAAAGACTTCCCATATTTACTGATTGGAAGAATTAATACTGTTAAATATTCACACTACCCAAAGCAACTTACAAATTCAAAGCAATCTCCACCAAACTATCAATGGCTTTCCTCACATGAATTTTAAAAATAATAAAATTCATATGATAGCACAAAAGACACAAAATAGCCAAAGCAATCTTGAGCATAAAGACAAAGCTAGAGGTGTCACAATATCTGAACTCAAAACATACTACAGGATTTTATTAAACAAGACAGAATGGTACTGTCGTAAACTAACACATAGAAAAATGGAACAGAACAGAAAACCCAGAAATAAATCCACACATCTATACCCAATTGATTCTTGACAAAGGCACCAAAACCTCGAAAAATGACAACCTTTACAATAAATGGTGCTAGGAAAACTGGATATCCATATTTGCAGAGGAATCAAACTAGGCCCCTTTTCCTCGCCATATAAAAAATAAACTCAAAATGTATCCAACTTAAATGTAAGCTCTGAAAATATGAAAGTAGTAGAAGAAAACAAGAAATGCTTCAAGACATTGGTATAATCAATGATTGTTTGGGTGAGATCCTAAAAGCACAGGTAATAAAAGCAAAATTAGATAAATGGGATTATTAAAAAAAAACAACTAAAAAGCCTTTGCACAACAAAGGAAACAATCAATGGAGTAAAGCGACAACTTACAGAATGAGAGAAAATATTTGCAAACTATTCATCTGACAAGAGATTAATATCCAGAATATATAAGGAATTCAAAAACTAAATTCAAAACCTCCAGAATAATCTTACTAAAAATGAGCAAATAATCTGAATACACATTTCTCAAAAGAAGATATATAGGGCTGAGTATACAGCTCAGCTGGTAGAGTGTTTGCCTTGCATGCACTAGGCCCTCGGTTCAATCTCCAGCACCACAAAAAAAAAAAAAAAGATATACAAATTAACAATGCTCAATATCACTAGTCATCAGGGAAATGCAAATCAAAACCACAGTGAGAGATTGCCTCATTCTAGTAAGAAAAAAGAAAATAACAAATGCTGTGAACATACAAACGAAAGGAAACTTATTCACTGTTAATGGCATAATACACTTATTATGGAGAACAGTAAGGAGGTTTGTCAAAACACTAAAAATAGATCTACCGTATGACCTAGCTATGCAGTGTCTGGATATCTATCCAAAGGAAATGAGATCAGTTTGTCAAAAAGATACCTGTATTCCCATGCTTATTGCAGCACTATTCACAAGAGCCAAGAGATGAAATTAACCAAAGTGTGTATCAACAGATAAATGGATAAAGAAAATGTGGTATACATACACAATGGAATATTATTTAGCCCTGTTATTCACACCAAAATTGATAAAACTGGAAGACATGACCTTAAGTGAAATAAACTGGATAAAGAAAGACAAATACCACATGTTCTCACTCATATGTGGTAACTGAAAAAGTTAATCTCAAAGAAGATTGGAATACTGGTTTCTGGCGACTAGGAAGGGTAGCATGTAGTGGGGACAGAGGCTGGTTGGATAAAGGATACCAAAATATAACTAAGATAAGAATGATAAGTCCTAGTGTTCTACAGCATAGTAGGGCGACTACAGTTGACAACAAGCATATATTTTATGAAGAGCCTAAAGAGAAGAGTTCAAAGGCCCAAAATATAAAGAAATAATAAGGAGATGGAAATGCTAATTACCCTCATTTGGCCATTCCACATTATATACATGTACTAAATTTCATACAGTATAATTATTCATGTGTCAAAAAGAAAAAAAGGAAAGAATAAATCATGTTGTTCACCTTAAATATCTAGAACATTCACTTTTCAACTATACTTCAATAAATCTAGGAAAAAATGAAATGGGTGTATATGTGTGTGTGTGTGTGTGTGTGTGTGATTGGTTTTAACTGTTGGAACCATCTAGCAGTAATGAATATTCAATTACAAAATTCATTACTGAGAAGTAAACAAAATTGCATGCAAAATATAAGAATGAAAACTAAATTTCAAGGGTAGTATTTAATAGTATCAATGTTAATTATGTATGTTTTAATACAACAGCTAAAACCCAGCAATCTTGTAAACCTCAAGACCTACAATATCAACAACTGGTATGATGTAAGTGCTCAAAAAGGTGTTTTAAATTAGCTAATTTATTTTTTTCACCATATTGTGAATAAGTGGTCATAAAAATTTTAAACTGAAGGACTTGTAAAAAACCAAAATCATATATCCAACCAAGTTTCAGTACAATGTGTAAACAATCCAGAGATTTGGCCAATTTGGTGCTTAAAAATTGTTCAAATCATAATTCTGAGCCTCAGCTTCTTAGCCTGAAAAAATGAAGAATGGTAATAACACAAATTATAAAATTGTTTTATGGTGTTAAAATTTTTTATGATTGGGGCTGGGGTTGTGGCTCAGTGGTAGAGCACTTGCCTTGCACATGTGAGGCCCTGGGTTCTACCCTCAGCACCACGTAAAAATAAATAAGTGAAATAAAGGTGTCTCCTTCTACAACTAAAAAATTATTTAAAAAAAATTATGATTATACCTAGTAACATACCATGAATTCTTCTTTATCTAATCCACAGAAAAACTGGAAATTTTGATGATAAAAAGTACCAACAAATTATACTCATATATTTTTAATATTTATTATTTTAATTGTAGTTGGACATAATACCTTTATTTATTTATTTATTTTTATGTGGTGCTGAGGATTGAACCCAGGGCCCCGCATGTGCTAGGCGAGCACTCTACTGCTGAGCCACAATCCCAGCCCATATACTCATATTTTAAAATATATATTTATGGGTATATTTAATTTACTAATCATCATCATCATCATCATCATATTCAAGTATGTGACATTTTATAATATGAGTTACTGCATGACACAAATTTCTACTCAGGGGTTAATTTTACATGTTAAAGATTATGAATGAGAAGCTGGGCATGGTGGCACACGCCTGTAATCCCAGTAACTGGGGAGGCTGAGGCAGGAAGAGCGGGAGTTCAAAGCCAGCCTCAGAAGATTAGTGAGGCCCTAAGCAACTCAGCGAGACCCTGTCTCTAAAATAAAATATTAAAAAGGGGTGGGGATGTGGCTCAGTATTTAAGCACCCTGGGTTCAATCCCCAGTACCCCCCCAAAAAAAAGATTATGAATGAGAGACAAACATAGGTACAGACATATAAATTGCATTATTTATAACTCAATTAAAAATCAAAGTAAATGAGAGCTAGAGTTGTGGCTCAGAGGTAGAGCACTCGTCTACCATGTGGGAAGCCCTGGGTTCGATCCTCTGCACCACATATAAATAAATAAAATAAAGATTTAAAAAAATCAAAGTAAATGAGTAGTATCTTGCCAAGAAAGACATTTGGCTGCTCTTGGTATTTCATACTGGCTTGAATTTTAATTTGTTTTTTAACTAGCAATTTATCAAGTACCTTTGTAAGGCTATTCAATTAAATAAAATGATTCCAAGTGTTTTAAATCAGAAAAATTATTTTACAAAAAAATACTCTTTCTCATTTGTTTTACAAGGGATAGAATATAATCTATATCAAAATTTAAGCTCTGATAATAGATCACAAATATTTAAAATTAAATATATACATTTGTATACTTGTATGTCATCTTCATATACAAAGTAACCTGAATAGATAATGTTGCTTTCAAATTAAAATTAAGGTAGATGTGCTGTCTAGCAAGAGAATGGAATGACTGACATTAAGATCATGAGAGAGGCTGGGGTTGTGGCTCAGTGATAGAGCGCTTGACTAGCATGTGTGAGGCCCTGGGTTCAATCCACAGCACCACATAAAAATAAATAGAATAAAGGTATTGTGTCCAACTACATCTAAAAGAATAAATATTAAAGAAAAGCTCATGAGAAATGAACGTAGTTTTCCAAGTATGACAAAAGAGGGAACTGTTATGCTTTAATATTGTTAATGTAACATGACATTAACTTGTCTAGATATATATATGATCATTTTATAATTACATATTATTCAGGCAACTAACTTCCTTTACCCTGAAAATTCTATGGCCATGTATGTTTAAATTGTTTTTAGGGTCTGGTGTTTCAGCTCAGGGGTAGAGTGCTTGTGTAGCAAGTTCTAGTACCTGGGTTTCATGCCTAGAATCACACACACACACACACACATGCACGCGCATGCACGTTTTAAAAACAAAATGAAACAGTACTGATCTCAACATAAAGTCTACCTTTTCCCATAAAGTCCTTAATACAGATCTATTAAAAATGTTAACTGTCTGTTGTAAAGATTCTAAAAGCATTAGTCAAAATACCAAACTACTATTGTATAGTAGATTGATATTACTATCACATTAGAAAATCTATGAGGCCTTATTACTATGGATAGTCCCATTCTTGACCTGTTGAATCAATCTGTATTTGATTAACAAGATCTCCAGGTGATCCATACATACACACACACACACACACACACACTAAAGTTTAAGCATCACTGTCCTAAAGCATAATTTTCATTACTAGTTCATAAATTATACAATATTATTTTGTATTTATTTGCCTTAGAAATGACTTAGATCTGTCTGAATAAAGATTTAGAAAATTCAAATTGCTATTGAAAAAATTATTTCTATTTATTTACATAAGTACAAAACCAATAAATTTCTCACCTCTTTTAGTAGATAATTGATACATCTCAATGGAATAGAGTAAAAATAATTTTTCCCTAACGTTATAAGGTGGAGTAATCAAAATAATTCATTTGAGAAACCAAGAAAATATTATATAAAAACTTAAATTTAAAAATAATCACATTTTAAAGCATTTTCTCTTTTCATTTTATTAACTTTCAAATTGTTCAGTTAGTAGTTTTCTATCCTAAAATGCTTATGTCAGAATTCTGATGACCTATTTCTCATAGCTTATGTTTCATAAATTATGCTAAAATTCTCAAAATTACTTATGTCAGAGATAGTCATTCTAAACTTATTTTCTAATACAACAAGACTTTATTTTGCTAAAACAGAGACTTAATGTTAAACACACACACACACCTGTGAAAATTCATGAGCATAGGAATGTTTTCATGTTTTATAACACAGGAGTAGAAAATACCTTAAGAAACATATAGCTTTTGCTATTTTCAGTTCACCAATTCCAGAAGATATCTGGATACTTCTAAATTAATGTAATCTGCAACAATGCATCAGTCCTTTGGAGTGGTCTGGACATTGGGATAGATGCCTGAGGATTCTAGGACCATTTCATATAGAATATCAGAACTGTAGATTTACTGAAGCAGAAAACAAGCTTAGCTAAAGGTGAATCAAAATTTTTGATAGAATAGTTTTCAAACATCTTCTGCTAAGTATTTACTCACTTTAGTTTTTCTTTAACTCTGAGAGTTTAAGGTGCAATATTATCTTTAATAACATTTACTTGAATGACTTTTTACTTCTGGAATCAATCATAATTACAAACAAATAATAGTTATTTTAAGATATGTGAATTTTTTAAAAATTAGAACTACCTGAAAGTGGAAGATTATACTTCTTATCACAGGAGCTTATAAGCAATTCAGTCGTATGACTAGCGCTCTGTGATTAAAAAAAAATCACAATGTTTGACCTATTCTTTAATTTTATAGAATTGTTGCTTAAATTTGTTTTATAGAGTTTATCTTTTGGGGGGGCGGTGGTACTGGGGATTGAACTCAGGAGCACTCAACCAATGAGCCACATCCCCAGCCCTATTTCGTATTTTATTTAGAGACAGGGTCTCACTGAGTTGTAACCTCACTTTTGCTGAGGCTGGCTTTTAACTCGTAATCCTGGGATTACAGGCATGCACCACCGCACCCGGCAAGAGTATCTTATATAAAGATAACATTACTTTGTGAAAACATCCTAGAAAATTATTGCTTTTGAAGAAACTTTTATCTTCTGAAAATAGAAATGATGTAAAGGGAATTTGGACTCTTAAAACAATTTATGTTATTTTGATATGGGGTATACCTATTTTGCCCAGGATGTCCTCGAATTTGTGGGCTCAAGATCATCCTGCCTCATCCTCCAAATTACAGATGTGCGCTATTGCACCCAACTGAAACAATCCACTTTGAATATCCTCTCAAAGTCTGATGGAATTCTTACAAAGTCTGTTTCTACACTTGGGAATAAACACTGGCTCTTTTGATTAAAAAAAAAAAAGGATGATGTGATGGGTAGAGAATTGATAATGAGAAAATAAACCCCACGCTAAATTTTTTTCATTCAACTTTATCCACAGTTTGCATCGGTAATATACATTTAGTGTTCCATTTACTTTTAAATGCATCAGAAAATCCATTATGATAGATCTGTGAGCAATACAAACTTTTCTGAATTCTTCAAAAAATTCAGTTATAAAAGTCATTAAACTAGCATTCTATAAAGATAATTATTAAACAAATGGCAATGCATTTTTACTCCTTATTTCAATTGTAACATATCCACCATCACTTCTTTCTTGTGCCATAGTCATAAAATTTAACAGAAAGAGCTATCTATTGAATTTTTAAGGGTCCAATAAAAATTTTAGTCTGATTAGTCAACCCTCATGAAATCACAAATCCATTCAAATAAAGATAATCATTCTTAATTCAATAACTGATGAAGTAAATATATAATAACAATAAAAACATTTAGGATAAATTTTACACATAAAAACTACTAAAAGAAATACATCAGAACCTTGGTATACTGTTGTCCTCAGGGACTTGTGAAATTGCTTCAGAGATGGTGTTGCCCTCTGACACAACACTAAATGAAATGTCATGGTATGGACCTCCACTGGACCCATCTTAAGTGGAATTTGGATTTGCAAAAAGGATGCTACAATGAGGTTCTGGTGTATTTTCTCTTTAAAGGAATAATTAACTGACAAGGGAAATGCAATAAGGGAATGGCCTAAGATTTCACTACTATTTTAATGATATGAAATAGGAAAATACTTGTAAAGTAACTAACACTAGATTAATAATAAGAGGAAATCGATAGCATGATAACTATAAAAGAAGTATGAATGATTGTTGCAGTTTTTAGTGGTTACTTAATTTGTAACGCTGTCAAACTTCTAAATTAGAAACTTATCAACTAAGGTACATACTGGCCATTTCTTGTATATTCCAAGTTTTCACTAGGGAGATCATGTCAATGAGGTTTGTTTTTTTGTGTGTTTTTTAAAAGACACAACTGAAAAGGAAAAATTAGCTCAAATATTTAAAGTAATAAATTACTAATAATTTAATTCTTATACCTTACAGTCATAAGAAGCTTTAATTCTTCAAAAGCTCCAATTTGACCCTTGGGGAGTGTAAAGAATATCTGTATTCTAAAGCCAAAATTTAATTATATGGCTTCATGCCAACTGATCAAAAATAGTAGAGTTGTTCCTAAGTCAACCCTTACTATACCATTTGGCACACTAGTTTTTACCTTTTATATATACCCTTTGAAATACCCAGGCCAACATTTTTAATAAGTTGCATCCATATTAAGAGGTAACAAGTGCAAATGATCACATACTTAAGATATGATGCTTGGCTACTACAAAAGTAATTAAGGTTCTTTTATAGGAAAATGAGTTATTCATTACAGTAATGTTTTTGAAAAATTCCTGCACTACTACCAACATAAATTTATCCATCTCTAAGTCAAACAAGAACTTTGTGTGACATAGTATCTCATGAAAATATTTTTGGAACAGTCTATGTTTAACTCAACATCAAGTTAATTGAGGAGCATCGGTGTACAAGATCCACAAATGGTCAGATTTTGAATAAAAACTTATTCCTCAATTGCTGCTCTCTGAATATAGCTAAAGGTAGCACTGATGTAATGTTCCTGAAAATCAAGATACAAATCCAAACTTTGGCAGTTTTATCAAAATGTCCTTCATAATTAGTACTTCACTAGTTCTCAAAAATCTTACTGCTTTGTGTAACATTTTCAATACAGAAATAAAATACTCTTCAAATAATACACTTTAAAAATGATTAAGTTTTGCAAAATTAAATAGCATAAATTAAGCATATTAACATTTTTTGTTTTTGTTTTGTTTTGCTTTTTTACAACATGAAATAACCAATTTAAGGAAAACTGTAATGGACTAACTAAAAAACCATGATGTCACGATGTGAGGCACATTTAAATCCTCACATAGTATTGACCTTACAAAACCTACTAAAATAGTTTAAAGTTCTGTTGACTCTATTGATACAAAAAAGAAATTGCAAAAATGCTTAAGACTATATAAGATTCATCAATTACACAGGCACTTCACATGTAAACAATCTACAGTACAACTGAAAATAGTTTGGCACCAACCTATAATACTAAAAGAATTTAATAGAATGCCAGAGTTTGGTTTTTTCCTACTCATTTTTTTCTAGAAAACTAAGAACAAAGATGAAAGAAGTTGTGTATAAACTAGAAGTGTATTAAATAACTCAAATATAGAATTGTTTTAAATGGCTAAAAAAAGATTACCATTTTCCAGATGTTTACTAGTATGTTATGATGTAAAAAAATTAAACCTAATGTGATTATTAAATTGGATACATATTTTAAATTGAGTATCAATCTGCATTTTGAAAAATAACCAAGGTTATTAACTGATAGTAAAAAGAAAATTTGAATTCATCAAAAACTCTTATTAAATTAATCCAGTTTTCCCCCAAAAGAAGCTTGGGCAATTCAGTTTCAATTTGATGTTTTAATGTAATTTTTGTAAAAACCCTAAGGCTTGACCTAAGGCAAATGATTTTTGACTGGACATTTTTATTCATGAATTTAAGATATCTGAAATTGCTTCAAATAAATGAAACTACACACTTATAATTTTTAAAATGTTATCAAGCCATAGAAAGTTGAGATGCCTTGGTCGTAGGTAATTCAAGGAGGGCCTGAACCGTGACACCAACTTTCACAAGACCTCGTTCTTCCAAAATATGATGAGGCAAACAGAGTCTTTCCTGGAAAAGAAAAAAAAGATATTTGAACATTCAATATTTTGTGTGTGGTTAAACTTAAGTTGGAATCGGATTGTTTTTTCTTGTGTGTGTGTGTGTGTGTGTGTGTGTGTGCAGTGCTGGGGATGGAACCCGGGGCCTCACATATGTTGCCAAAGGCTCTACCACTGAGTTACATCCTCAACCTCAGAATCAGATTTTTAAAGTATACTTTCTGTAAAACTTCAAGTAAAAAATGCACAATTCTGTTTTCTCTAGTAAATATTGTAATCTAATGTGTTTTGGTTCTTAACTTACACTAAGTAAAGGATTATAGAGGCTGGCCTTCTCTGAAATGCTATCACTTTACAACTAAACCTCTTTCTCTACACAGAAAATATCTGCAAAGGAAGAGGTCACCACTGCTGCATTTCCCATTCACTACTCAACTACTGCTATTTTACAGCTGCCTCTAAAGAATCTACCCACTAAAATTACTCTAGTAAAAAAAAAAATCAGCAATGTCTTCTTAAATGTTAAATGTTGCACATGCCTACTTGACTGCTATATCATTTTGAGCCTTTAATTAATGCCTTTCTTGAAACCTTACCTCTTTTTTATGTTGTATGACCTCATTCTTTTTATTTCTTCAACTTTTCTGACAGCAAATTGTGCAATAGCTTTCATTAGCTTTCATCGATCCTATTCTAATATCCTAAATGCTTCCAAGGATTCTGTTGTCACTCTCTTCTCTTTTTACACTGTATCCATTCCTTGTATTTTCATTTATTCTCTTAGTTTTAATTATCCCTCATAATGACTTCCAAATCTTCATTTCCTCCCCAAATCTCTCTATCAAGCAAATGCCAACTAAACAGCCAAACATGTGTCCAATAAACATATAAAAATCAATATGTCCACAACAGAACTACTTCTACTAAATTAGTTTATCCTTCTGTATTTTATATCTTGGTCAGTAAAAAACTATTCAATTTCTACCAATATAAACATAGGAATCATAATAGCTTTCCTTGTCTTCCTTACTCCCTTAATATATTCATAAAATACCACTGATGATATCTTTAAAGAGTTCTCAAAAACTATCCTGTGCACAGAGGTACGTGCCTGTAATCTCAGAGACTTGGAAGGCTGAGGCAGGAGAATTGCAAGTTCAAGGCCAGCTTCAGCATTGTAGCAAGACCCTATCTCAGAATAAAAAATAAAAAGCATTGGAGGTGGAGCTCAGTGGTAGTAACATGCCCCTGGATTCAATCCCCTGTACTTCAAAACAAACAAAATAAATAAAAGAGTTCCCTAAAAACTATCTTATCATCTCCATTTTTATTGCTCCATTTAGTGTTCTCATGGTATTTTACATACTTATTCAAATCACCACTGAAGAGTATAATGAGGAAAGGAGAAATGTTTCAAATTAGGGACTTTAGTACCTACCTTAGGAACTAGAAAAAGAGCAAATTAAATCAATGCCAAATAGAAAGAAGGAAACAATGAAGATGAGAGAAAAATGCTAGAAAGAAAAAAAAAAATCAATGAAACCAAAATGTAGTTCATTGAGAAGAATTTTAAAAATTCATAAGCCTTTATTTAGGCCAATCAGGAAAAAGAGACTTAGCAATATCAGTAATAACAGAAGTGACATCACAAGTTATTCTACAAATACAATGATAGTAAGGAGATACTATAAACAATGTTATAAGATAAATTTGACAAATTAGAAGAAATGGATAAATTCTCTGAAAGATAAAATATACTGAAACTCATACAAGAATAGATAACCAGAATATATCTCTATCTGTTAAAGAAATTTAAACTGTAGTATAAAACATTTCCACAGGGGCCGGGAGTATAGCTCAGTTGGTAGAGTGCTTGCCTTGCGTGCATAAGGCCCTGGGTTCAATCCCCAGCACCACAAAAAAAAAAAAAAAAAAAAAAAGTTCCACAAAGAAAATCCCTGGCCTAGATAGACTATTCATAAATTTCATTAGATGAAAGAAATGATATCAATTCTGCCCAAATGTTTAAGAAAAATCAAGAGGAAAGGAATACATACTCCAGGAAGTTGGCACTACCTTAATATCAATAAAGACATTAAAAGAAAACTAAAAACCAGTATCCCTATAAACATACAAGCAAAAATCTAATAAAATTTTAACAAACTGATCCAATAATATAAAAAAGCAATAACAACATCAAGAAAAAAACCCACCACGATCAAGTGGGGTTTAATCTAAGAATGCAGGGTTGAACTAACATTTGAAAATCAATGAATGTGATTTATAATAGTAACAAACTAAAATGAAAATAACATGCTCACATCAGTTGATGAAGAAAAAGCATTTGATGAGTTCATTTATTCAGGGACGGGGTAGGGAGTTAGCAATGCTGGTGGAATGTGATGGACATCATTATCCAAAGTACATGTATGAAGACACAAATTGGTGTAAACATGCTTTATATATAACCAGAGGTATGAAAAATTGTGCTCTTTATGTGTAATATGAATTTTAATGCATTCCTCTGTCACTTATTTAAAAATAAAAGATAAAATAAAATAAAAAAGCATTTGATGAAATCCAAGATCCATTTGGTAAGAACTTTAGGAAACTAGGAATGTAAGAGTACTCCCTAAACCTCATACAGATCATCTGTGAAAATCTCACAGCTAACATCGTACTTAAGGGTGAAAGACTGAAATTGTCCTAAAAAAATCAGAAGACAAGGATGTCCATGTTTGCCATTTGTATTCAACATTGTGCTAGGATATCTGGCCAGGGTAATCAGACAAGACAAGATAAAACAAGAAAAGACATTCAGATCAGAAAGAAAGAAGAAAAGCTGTTTCTATTCACAGAAAATATGAACAACCATATACAAAATTCTGTGAAATCTACAAAAAGCTACTAAAACGGATAGGTACATTTAGCAAGATTGTAAGATATAGATTAATATATAAAGACTGATTATATTTCTATATATTAGAAACAAAGAGTGAGATATTAAATTACAACTGAACAATCACATACAATAGCATGTAAAATACGAAAGTATAAAATACTTCAGGACAAATACACAAGATCTATACAGTAAAAACTACAAAACATTGTTGAGGGAATTAAAGAATACCTTAGTAAGGATATACTTGGTGTATGGAAAGACTCAATATTGTTATCATTCCACCTATGTTGTTCTATATGTTAAACACAACTTCTATAATAATCTAATTTTTTTTAAAATTTTTGTGTAGAAGGGCAAAATATTCTAGATTTATATGGAAATACAAAAGACCAAGAATAGCCAAAATAGCTATAAAAAGGAAGAAGAAAGTTAGAGTGCTAATACTATTTGATTTTAAAATGTGTAGTAAGCAAGATGTTGTTTTACCAATGTACATATAGGGGAAAAAAAATATCAATGGAACAAAATAAAGAATCCAGAAACAGACTCACAGATAAATGGACAAATGGTTTTTGATACAGAGGCAAAGGAAGATGAATGGAGAAAGAATAGATTTTTAAACAAATTTTGCAGGAAAAACTGAATGCAGGGAAACTCCTCAAACTCATGAAAGGGCATCTACAAAAAAACCACAGTTGATATCATACTAAAAGATGAGAGATTAAATGCTTACAATCAAGAACAAAGTGGTGCATACTTGTAATCCCAGTGGCCCAAGAGGCTGAGGCAGGAGGATCACAAGTTCAAAGTCAGCCTCAGCAACTTACTGAGGGACTAAGCAACCTAGCAATCCCCTATCTCTAAATAAAATATAAAAAAGGGCTGGGGATGTGGCTCAGTAGTTAAGTGCCTCTGGGTTAAATCCCTGGTACCAAAAAAAAAAAAAAAAAAAAAAAAAAAAGAATGTCGATAGGAAATAAACAATTGAGAGTCCTTACACTTATGGTCAACTAACTTCTGACAAGGGTACCAAGACAATTCAATGAGAGGAAGAAGAGTCTTATCAACAAATGGTACTAGGAAAATAAACATCTGCATGTAAAAGAATGAATTTGGAACACTACCTCACACCATGCACAAAACTGTACTAAAAAAGGATTAGAAACCTAAATGTTAAGCACAAAACTATAAAACTTTTAGAAGAAAATATAGATGTAAATCTTCATGACCTTGAATTAAGTAATGTCTTCTTAGCTATACTATCAAAATCACAAGAAACAGAAGAAAAATGAATAAACTGTATCTCAACAAATAAAAAAACTTTGTGCTGCAAATGATAACATTAAGAAAGTGAAAAGACAACCCACAGCATAGGAGAAAATAAATGCAAATCCTGTACCTCATAAGTGATTTGTATTTGGAATATATAAAGAATACCCATGACTCAATAACTATAAGATAAATAATCCAATTAATAAATGGATGCAGGTTTTGAATACAAATTTCTTTAAAGAACATGCACAAATTATCAATAAGCATATGAAAAGATGTTCAACATCATTTACTATTAGAAAAATGCAAATTGAAAATATAATGAGCTATTACTTTGTACCTGCTACAATAGCTAGGATAAAAAGGTAGACAGTAACCATTGTTGGTGAGGATGAAGAGAAATGAGAACCCTAACTCATTGCTGGTGGGTATGTAAAATGGTGCAGCCACTTTGGAAAACATCTTGGCAGTTCTTCAAAAAGACGAACATAGTTACCTTGACCTAGTAATTCCACTCCTAGGTTTATAACCAGGAGAACTGAAAATAAGTGTTCAAATGAAAACTTGTTCTTAGATGTTCACAGCAGCATTATTTATAATAAATGATGAGTGGTAACAACCCAAATGTCCACCAACTGACAAATGGACAAACAAAATGTGGTATATGCATACAATGGAATACTACTCAGCATTAATAAGAAATGAAGTACTGTTTTATGCCACAACACAGAAACCCTGAAAACATTATACTAAGTGAAAAAAGTCAGACACAAAAGGCTCCATAATGTATGATTTCATTATATGTAATGTTCAGAATAAGCAAATACACGGAGACAGAACAGGAAGGGACAGTCAATGCATTGTAAGGGGTTTCTCTCTAGGGTAACAAAAATATTCTACACTTAGATTATTATGAATGTTGCCCAATTCTGTGACTATACTAAAAACCATTTAATTGTATGTTTTAAATCAATGAATGCTATGTATGTTAATTATATTTCAGGAAAGATGTTAAAAGAACAATCAATACATGAGCCCAATCCCAGGCTGAAAAAAGAGCTTTAGCTTTGACAATATGCAAGAATTAACTCAAAATTGATCATAGACATAAAATGTAAAACCTAAGATTATAAAACTTCTAGAAGTAAACAGGAGGAAATCTTTGTGACTGTGGGTTATGCAAAGATTTCTTAGGTTTGAGAAAAAAAGATAATCCACTAAAAAAAGAAGAAAAAAAAAAAAGACAAACTGTACTTCAAAACTTTAAAATGTCTGCTCTTTGAAAGACACAGACAATCCAAAAACTAGGATACAGTATCTGTGAGTCACAGGTCTTATAAAGAACTTGGTCCATAATTTATGAAGAACAACCCAATTTTAAAAATAGATAATTATTGGGCTGGGATGTAGCTCAGTGGCAAAGCACCTGCCTTGCATTCACAAAGCCCTGGGTTCGACCCCCAGTTAAAAAAAAAAGAGAGAAAAATACATAAAATATTTTAAAAATCTATATTAAAAGGCAAGTTATAGTAAGTAATAATAATAGATAAAAGGTTAGAAAATACACTTCCAAAAAGAAGATACACAAATGGCAACTAAGTACTTGAAAAGATGATCAATACTGTTAGTCTTCAGGGAAGTGCAAATTAAAATTGTATTGGGAGGCCAAAAAATACCTATTTACAATGACTAAAAACTTAAAAAGGTCAGTCATACAGAAGTGGTGAGGATACGGAGAAAATGAAATTTCATATACTGCCGATAATACTGTGAAATGGTACAACTGGTTTAGAAGAGAATTTTGTACTTTTCTTAAAATGTTAAGCACCTACTTACTAAAGGCTGCAGGTATTCCACTGCCAGGTATTTACTAAAAATTAAAGAATACAAATATCCACACAAAGACTTATACACAACTGTACACAGCAGCTTTATTTTTATAACCCCTAAAACTGGAAACAATCCCAATATCTACCAACAGGCCAATGGATCAACAAATTGTGAAATTCTACTCAGAAACAAAACAGAATGGCCTATTTAAATATGCAACAATACTGACATGTCTTAAAATAATCATGCCAAGTAAAAGAAAAAAAAATCAACACATTGTATTAGTGCATTAATATAAAAACTCTAGAAAAATGCAAACTAATCTATTATGTTATAAAGCCAATTAGTGGTTGCCTAGAGAAGGAAGGTTTGCAGAGGGAGAGGAGGAAACTTTTGAGGATAATGGATATGTTCATTACTTTGATGGTGATGATGATTTCATGGTATATGTATATATCAACATTTATTATGGCTGAGGATGATAGAGTGCTTGCCCAGCATGTGTGAGGCCTTGGGTTCAACATCCCAGCACCACATATCCCCAAAATGGATAAAATCATATACCTTATTTACATGTCCTTTATTTTACACCTATTATATCACAATAAGGATGTTAAAAACTAGAAAATATCCTAGAACAAAAAGAATTAAGTGAAAAAGATTGTATATTACCACTTATGTGTTCATGGAAACAAAAATTCTTAAAATGAAAATGCAAAATAAGAAAATAAATGTAATGTAATAATAGCTGGAAAAAAAACTGTCCTAAGTTTTCTATTTTCTCATTAAGAGTAAGGGCACAAAAAAGAATTAACCAAGATCTTTAAGAATTAAAAATTTAAGGGCCTGGGTATAGCTCAGTTAGTACAGTGCTTGCCTCACATGCACAAGGCCCTGGGTTCAATCCCCAGCACCACATCATACACACACAAAAATAAATAAATAAATAAATATTTAAAACATCACATGTTAAGCATAGAAAAAAGGTAATAATAATTCCTGCATTACATATACACTACATTTGCTCCCTTGAAGAAAGAGGCTAAAATGGAATCTGAAGACTAGATTATGATGACACTGTTCAAAAGACCTAACAAGCACAATTGTGTTCTGTTTACAGTGTGATTTCCCTCACCAGTCAGTCATGTTAAGGTTGGGTTTGTAAAACTTTTTGTTTTAAATGCAACATTTTTATTAAACATTTTTGTAAATTAGGGTCTAATTTCCAATTTCCAACCTTAATTTCCAATATATATTTATAATACTGCTTTTGTAACAGACCAACACTCTGGAAAGATGTATTTCACAGAATTGCTTTCACCTTCCCTCCCTAATCTTTTAGGGAGCCATCTTTTTTTTTTTAAGTTGTAGATGGACACAATATCTTTGTTTTACTTATTTATTTATTTTTTTATGTGGTGCTGAGAATCAAACCCAGTGCCTCACACATGTGAGGCAAGCGTTCAACCCCTGAGCTATACAAACTTTTATATGATAGTCTAAACTCCTGAAAGAGGCCTCTGAAATGTTCCTTCTCTCCTCAGCTTCTAGGAATTGACTTGCAGAAAGGCAATGCAGCTGTCTGAAAGGAAAATGGCAGGTTGAAGCCAGGATTCCTTTCAATGAGGAGGAAAACAGGAGCCCAGGAAAGAAAGAACCTGCCCATTATCTCATGTGGCCTCCTTTTCCCCCATAAAAACTCTTCAGGTGGGCTGGGGATGTGGCTCAAGTGGTAGCCCTGGCATGTACGGGGTTCTGGGTTCGATCCTCAGCACCACATAAAAGTAAAATAAAGATGTGTCCACCAAAAACTAAAAAATAAATATTAAAAAATTCTCTCTCAAAAAAAAAAAAAAAAAACTCTTCATGCCCTTGAGCCCTCTGAGATAGAGATTTCAAGGGGGAAGGAAGAAGAAATCCTCTCTGTCTTCTTCGGGGCTGACTTTGAATAAACCCGTTTCCTTCCACTAATTTTGGTCTCCCTAGTCTTTGGGTGAGCATGGAACAATAGAACCTTAAATTCGGATAAAAATTTAATCATTAATTTTATAACACTGTAATTATTATGTGAAACACAAGCTAATTTCCACAAATTTCAAAGTTTGCCCTTGCAGATATTATCATACTAGGTACTAACATTTTCAATATCATTTTAAATAAAGCTTAAAATGCTGTTACACTAATGCCAATCTTCCAGTCAGAGGTCTATCCATTGATTAATAGAGGAATCTAAATGTTCCCCAGCAGGAAAAAAAAAAATGATAGTAGCATTGCCATTACAACCAAACTGTAATATGGCTACTACGCATGGTTAGTTAACTTTTCCATAAGACAGCTGTTTTATAAATTGTTTTGAAAACATTTATTACACAACTTCTGCAATTATCTACAGCAACATAGTAAAAAGAAGGTACAGTAACAGCTGCTCCTTTCAAACTGGAAAACTTATAACAATAGCTGAGTCAGCTATTGTCATGATAACCTGGTTAAGCTATTTCTCCATCTCAACCGCCCAGAGGCAATCACCTCATGCTGATAACGGAAGCTAAACAGAAACTGCCCCCAAAGCCCTAGCTCCTGGCACAAGGATGCCAAAAGAACCTTAAAAAACAGATTTGTAACTCCACACAGTATGGTGTATATGCATATCTCTGAGCTCCCTGCTTTTGTTCTTTTTTCCTATTCAATACTAAACTTCTATGTGTTCAGGGAAGGCAAATTAGCTGTGATCCCAGTTTATATGAAAATACAAATGAATTCATTTTTTATATCATTTTTCTCTTAATTGCAATATAGGTGGGCAACCAAATCCAGCCCACGGAACCCCCAGAGCCAAGCCTCTGGGTTGGGGGGCGGGGATTAACACCAAGAGACAGTATCAATGTTCATATTTTGAAAACATTATTAAATGCTATTTTGAAGACTCTAATTTGCATGCAACAAATTAATATTTAAATAATCATTCTGTTGGATAAATAATTACCTGTGAGACACCCAACTTTTTACAAGCATCAAGAAAATTTTCTACATTTCTTCGACATTTTGCCATGCTCAGCTTGGGCTGTAAAGTAAGGTTGGGGGAAGAAAGATTTATTTTCAAGCATTTTTATACAGAACTTAACCAAAACTGAAATTTTAATTTACTGAGGTACAGTCTATTATTTAAAGACCGTTATAGGAAGCTATATTTTCCTGTGATAAATAGAAAGCCCAGTGGTCCATTTTTAGAATATAGTATTTAGCCTTAATTGGATCCAATTGTAGCCATATTAATTTTAGCCCTTCCCTTTTCCCACCCCAATTTTAAAATTAGCTAATCATGTAGATTAGAACCCCCAGCTCTTCCAATCAAAAGCAAAGGGCAGCACTGCATTAAGGATAAAAACTGCCTGCCCAGGTGTGTATACTAGACAGGTTCTGGTAGCATGCCCTTCTGGTAGGAGTAAATGCCTTGTCCACCCACTTTTGAGCACTGGTGTTTGATTTCTTGTGGCACCTCGGTATTTCTAACATTCCTTTGGAGAACTATAGACAAAACTTACCACTGCTGGTGATGGTACATGAATACTAGCTACAGAGCGTGGCCTTATATGATTGGCTAAATGGCAAAGGACAACCCCATCCATCAGTGCAGCTCCAATGTCATCAGGCAAAATAACTTTTAACCTGGATTCAAGATTCTATAAAGAAATGGATACAGATCAGATATTTTACCTAAGCATATATTAAATATTTATATTACTAATTGTTATTTAATCAAAAAATTTTCAAGAACATTGAAAATAAACCCATATACCTCACTAATTTTTCTAAGTTAAACCCATTTCTATAAAGCAAGTCTTTTTTTTTTTTGTCTTTTTTGAAACTGGGGGTCAAACCCAGGGCTTTGCAAGTGCAAGGCAGACGCTTTGACACTGAGCTACATCCCAGCCCTAAAGCAAGTCTTAAAGGTCAATCTGACTTACATTGCGAAGTTGTCTTATTTGCTCTCGTTCTTCCCTTAAGTGTTCCATCTTTCTTCTCATTGTGAATCCTGGATCTGCAGCCCCATATTCCTGGCGAGATGAGCGGCTAAAAGCTTTATAAAAACAGAAATTTACCAACTTATTTCAAAGCTAATTAAAGGAACAACCACTGATGGAGAAAGAAGCATGACAAAAAGAATCAGTACAAAATTACATAAATCACTATGACTTATTAATACATTCAAAATATTTTCCAAGTGTATCTTTGAATACCACCTATATAACTGAAAGTAACAGAGAACAAAAGTATGATTTCTATCACCGACACAAGTTCTTACTTAAACATGTTATTAGAAACTTATGATCCAGGTTAAATATGAGTACTGAACATATGTCAACCTTTATCTTTAAAGAAAAAAAGGAAATTATTTTTGAAGGTCAATATAGTTATTCAGGAATAAAAACTATAATTCAATACCTTGCCAAGTAACATGGATCCATTTTCTTTTGGGTTTGCCAAATGTGAAAAGATCCCTTTTTAAAAAACTATAATATAATGGAGTGTTATAATTTCAAACAGTGTTTGGTCTGCTGGCAGAGGGGTCATTCTAACAGCAGTCACAGCACAGTAGAAATAAGACTGCAGTATATCTAAGCCAAAGAGCTGAGGTTTCAGGAGCTTGAAGGTAAAGAGGAAGAAAGAAATGAGAATGGGAATTGGAAAGACAAGTTTAAGAGAAAATCACTTTTAGGAGAGGGGAAAGAATCTATGGTGTAATTAAAACTATGGATATTACAAATGGATATTACATGGATATTACAAAACTGGGATATTACAACTTGAAACAAAATTAATTAATTTGATTTAAAGAATATATATTTACCTGATCTAGGCTTTAAGCCAAAGGGACCATGTGAAAAGCCATCAGTTCTGTCATATTCCTAAAAACAGAAAACAAATAAACCCTTTTATTTCAAATAATCAAGATGCTTATTCATATCCGTTCCAATTTGAAGAATTACATATTTTTTCCATGACAAGTGGAAAAGAGAAAGGCAACTTGCATTTCAATTTAAGCTGATACATTTTACTTTTAAAAGGTCAATAAATACTTGCTAGCTGACCTGCCTACATATGCCTTTAAATACTGTCTCACAGTATGAGGAAAAAGAAATTATTAACCAAAGTATATAAATAGATATTATTTTTTGAAAAAAGGAACCAGATTAAAGTCTCCAAAATAGTGAAGTATGCTTCAATGAAGAGATATGTGAATTTACCAACTCAGTATCTATGTGTTTTTTGTTTGTTTGTTTGTTTTTGTGGTACTGGGGAGAGAACCCAGGGGCCCTATGCCACTGAGCTGCATCCTTAGCCCTTTTATTTTATTTTACTTTTTTTTTTTTGTATTGGGGATCAAACCCAGAGCTTTGTGCAGGCAAGGAAAGCACTCTACCAACTGAGCTATATCTCCAGCACCTTATTCCACATTTTTTACTGGTGCATTATAGTTACGCACAATGGTGGGATTTGTTGTTACATATTCATACATGCATACAATATAAAATATAATTTGGCCACTATCTCTCCCCTGCACTTTCCTCCTTCCTCCCCTTCTCTCACCCCCTAGTCCCTTTCTTTTATTCTACTGATTTTATTTTTTGTTTTGGGACAGGATCTTGCTAAGCTGTGGAGGCTGGTCTCGAACTTGTGATCCTCCTCCTCAGTCCCTGGGACCAATCTTCATATTTACATTAACAGGAGCTGCAGAATGATTGAGGATGATAAATTATTATCTGCTCTATTTGAATGCATTATTTCAAAGTGCTTCTATATACTGTGGTATGCTGGGAAAATATATGTGTTATATTAAACAAATCTGAACTTTGAGTCAGAAAGCTCAGGCTCTGTCTTAAACACACTTAATTTTTCTGTGATTGATTTTTTATCTTTCAAATGAAATTTCTATGAAGAATAAATAAGGTAACTGTTAGGTAGAACTTGACATAGGCAACACCATTTTGAAACATACTCCATCTTAGAACAAGAGTCACCTCACAGTCACTGTGACTTGGCCTGACCTTAAACTCCAGACATACTCCATCATTATGAAAAGAAACCACAAACACTCCGTCATCATACAAAAGAAAATTGTTAGCTGAAATCCTGAAAACACCTGGTCTGACAAGGAACAGTGACCATCTCAAAGAATGGAGGTGTCCACCATAAGGACCCTTCCCTACCCTTCCATGGCCAACCCCTAGCAACAGCCTAATCCCTTCACCCCTTCCCCTATATCTACCCCAGGCTGTAAGTAGAAGAGGGGTCACAGCCTCCACTGGGCCACCCTCTGCGGATTTATCCCAAACAAACCTGTATTACTGTTGAGCCACCTCTCATCTCTTTATTTCCTTTATTCCTTTTTTCCTTACAGCAAATACATGAAAGTACTTTGTAAATTAAGAAGGAATAAAATAATGTAATCTTATTACATTATTAGTGGCAACTTATTTAATTTGTACGACTCTGGGAAGTAGGCAGGGCCTAGGCTCTAATCACTATTCTGCCATTTATTGGGCATGCTTTTTGGGAAAATTATCTATCTCTTCAGCTGTAAAATGATGAAGATGACACCTAGTCATGGGACTAATTTTGGGTTCAAACATATTAGTAACACTTTGCTAAAACACTACACTAATTAGTTTTACCATTTCCTTCCTTCTTTTTTCTTCTTCTTCCCCTACCCTCCTCCTCTACTGAGGATTGAACCCATGGGCAGTCTACCACTGAGCCACATCTTCAGCCCTTTTATTTTTTTATTTTGAGAAAGAGCCTTGCTAAATTGCTGAGGGTGGCCTTGAACCTGTGGTTCTCCTGCTTCAGCTTCTTGAATCACTGGTATTACGGGTATTTGCCACTGGGCCTAGCCCGCCATTTTCTTTTCACATAAAATTGAAACAACTGGAATTCTGTAGATTATTTGAATCTTCTGTCAATTAACATGATATGCAATTCAAGTTGAATGTTAGTTGATCTACAAAAACACATGCTTATCACTCTATCCATCCATACTTACTATTTGTCTTCATTTTTTGGTTAAATTGTTATGAATACCTTGCAAAAAAAATCACTTATCCAAATGCAGCAAAAATATATTATAAAAGCAATATAACTTATCTGAGAAAATTGGCACTAATAATCTCCCCTGTGAGCACCGACCTTAAAATCATAAAGCAGCTAGGCAACAAGGACTAATCACTTACTCCTTATAAATTAAAAGATTTACAAAAGTATGTGACCAAGATTAATTCTAGAATATCCTAATTTAAAGTATTTTCTAAACACATATAAACCATTTTACCTTCCATACAAATAATTTAGAATTGTGTTTATAAAACTCACGCCCAACAAGTCTATATAAAAGTTTTATAATGCAAATCATCCAAAACAATAGAGAATCCTGGCTCTCTACAAAAGTAATGCCACTTACATAGAATCAAATACTTATTCAGTTAATTTGGACCATCCAAACATTTAGATAATATCCTGAATTCACCAAATGAATGCATATTTTTCTATTTAATACTGCCAATACACTTTAGAACACTAAGGTAATCTGAATAGAAGAGATACTGTTTAGAATGTTTTAATTTTAAATCTGTGGTAAAGCATGAAGTCAAACTAATTTAGAAGAATCGATCATTCAAACCTCCAGAATATTTAGTTGAGATTTTACAAACTGTGTTTTTCATAGATGGGCTCTCCTTGGGATCCCCTGCCCCTTAAGGAAATGTGTAACCTTTTGTCGATAGGAACAACCCACCTCAGGGATGTTTCTCGTGGAAAAAGGAAGTTTCTCTTGCATTGCTTTCAGACCAGTTGGTTACAAAGAAAACCAATGGCCATTGCACAATGCTGTAGTGCCTTTTTCAAAGTAAAATTTTAAAGTTATTAAAATATGGATGAATCAGAAAGCACACATTTCATAGAAGTGCCTTATTTTCTATGATCTACAGATATTTTCCACAGAAAATCACAGATAAGTGATATTTAGCATGAATATTTATTTTTAAAATATATTATAGACTAGAAATTTGTACATACTGACCTATCATAGATTTTAAAATAGAGGTGAATACTTTACTTCATGAAAAAAAAAGAAAAAGATGAAATTAAAGAGAAAGAGGCAAGGAAGAACCCCATGTAAAACACAGAAAACATATAAAAAACACATACAAACATTTAAAACATATAAAAACAGAACTTGTACCTCAGATGATACTGGAGATTGTGGTGACATATTAGCATTATCACTGTCTTGCTAAAATATAAAAATAAAAAGATGAAAGATGAAATTAAAATATAAAACAATGATTTAAACATATAAAAGGAAACCTGAAAATTGTTTTGATCAACTGCTAAAGGAAGAGTCTAGATCATACCATCTAACATCTTGCAACTCAAAATGTGCTCTGTGAACCAACAGCATAGGCATTCTCTGAGAGTTTGTTGGAAATGCAGAATCTGAGGACCCAACCAATATCAAATCAGAATCTACATAAAACTCCCAAGTAATTCATTAATTATTTTAAAGTTTGAGAAGTACTATCTACACACAAGAGTAATGATATGTTACAATTTGAGACATGTAAATGATGACATGCAAAAGTTCCATCACACCAAATTATGTGAATCAATATATGCTTAGAAATACTTAATTGAATAAATCATGAAATGGTCCACAATTTTTGAATAACTATTCTACTGCCAACCACATACAAAATCTTGACATTCAACCTGTAATGTGCACAACACATTGAACATTTACTCATTCAACAAATGATTATGATTAGCTACTATGTCAGACACTGGAAGACACTGGGAGTATTGATTTTTTTTTTTTTCCTTTTGGTACTGAGGACTGAATCCAGGGCCACTTTACCAATAAACCACATCCCTGGCCCTTTTTATTTTTATTTTTTAATTTTGAGACAGGGTCTTACTAATTTGCTGTGGGTCTTGGTAAGTTGCTGAGGCTGACCTTGAAGCTATGGTCCTCCTGCCTCAGCCTCCAGAGCCTCTAGGATTACAGGCATGCACCAGTGCACCCAGTTACAGGAGTAATGAAATTTAGTAAAATATTATCTTTTAAGAATCTCTCAATGTAGAGGGAAAATAGATTTATGTGTGCAGATAATACAACATGCTTAACTCTATGCATGGGATATTATGAGGCACAGATAAAAGGACTTTGGGGAAGAGCAGGGATGAAAGAAGGCTTAACCACTAAGTCACATCCCCATCCCATTTTAGTATTTCATTTAGAGACAGAGTGTCACTGAATTGCTTAGGGCCTCACTAAGTTGCTGAGGCTGGCTTCGAACTTGTGATCCTCCTGCCTTAGCCTCCTGAGCCGTTAGGATTACAGGCATGCGCCACTGCCCCGGCAAAGTTGAATATTTCTTAGCAAGGGAATGGCCCACTTGTATTTGTGGTCTTTGAAACAATCATTCTGGTTGCAGTGAGGAAAATAGACTGGAGAATGGAAGAAGAGCAAGGAAGCTACTGCAGTAATGCAAGAAAGAAGTGATGAGGGCTGTGCCAGGGCAGCAACAGTGAAAAGGAAGGTGGAGAAAATGTATACAAAATATTTCAGTTCCAAAAAATAAATAAATGAACAAAACAGTAGGTCTTGGTGACAAATACTAAGGCAGATAGGACAAAAATGGGTATGAGGAGAGAGGAAGAGTGGCTAAACTGAACCTCTAGCTCAGGGTCCAGAAAATGTTTTCTGTAAAAGATTAGGGAGTAAATATTTTAAGTTCTGTGGACCATATGATGCCTATAGCAACAGTTCAAGTCTGCAATTATAATGCAAAAGCAGTCATAGGAAAATGGAGGACCACATTAGGCCCTGGGCCATAGTCTTTTAATTTCTGCTTTAACTGCTGGGTAAATAGTGGATTGCACTCACTCAGTAGATCTCAACCTTAGCTACCCATTAAACTCACATGGGAAACTTTAAACACATCATTGTCCAGGCTACTCCACATTTTACTACGGGTCAATTAAATCCAAGTATCTTGGGGTGAGACCCAGGCATAGGTATTTTTTAACGCTCACCAGGTGATTTCGATGTGTAGCCAAGGTTGAAAAATGCACCACTGAAAAACTGTGATATGAAGCAAAGATGAAAAACAAAAATAAAAATAAAACCATGCTGAGTCCTAAGTATGATGGATATAAGATTATAAGGACCTGAACCATGGGCATGTGGCACATACCTGTAATTGATAGGAGACAGACAGACATGATTGGTGGGAACACTAGGTAAAGAGAATAATTCTATAAACATGCTTTCTTTTCCAAGAAGCAATTTACCTGCAGTACTGCCTGGCTTAAGCCCATAGGATATGCTACATTCTTCAGAAAACAACCTGTTATCTGCAGAAGAAATGCAGGCCAGAGTGTAAGTTACCCTGAAGAGGGAGACTTTTGTAATTCTTACACAGATCGGATCCCAGAATTCAAGGAGATAAGGATAATTCTTCCTTACCATAAAATCTGTAAGAATTTATGTTTAAGAATCTTAATTAGAACCATTCAGTCCAGGCCAAAGTGACCTAGAGTTGTCATGGCAGTGGAGACTTGAAAGTCTGATGTCACTCTGTTGTCAGTCAAAAATCAAGAAGTTGATCTTGGTGGAATTCTCTGGAAACTTCTCAGGATCCCCAATAAAACTAGAGTGGAGGAGAGCCATGCTGTTCCTCTCCAAGAGGACCTACTCTTTCCCTTGAGAGTGTCACCTTTCCCATCCCTTTTAATAAACTAATTTCTGCTACTCTGAGTGACATGTCTGAAATCTTTCTGACTTGATAAAAAGAACTGGGGTATGAAGTGGCAGTCTTTCATGCTGCCTCCGTTTACTGGAAGGCCCCACCCCTGTAACATAATCACAGCAATTCAGGAAGCTGAGGCAGGAGGATTGCAAGTTCAAGGACAGCCTCAACAACTTAACAAGACCCTGTCTCAAATATTTTAAAAAATTGAATAATAAAAAGGGCTGGGTACCATGTAGCTTGGTGATAGTGTGTCCCTAGGTTCACTCCCCAGTACCACTAAATAAATAAATAAATAAATAAGATTACAAGGGCAGGAGGCTCAGGGGAGAAGTGGGAACTAGAGACAAACCCAAGAAACTTTGAGAGCTGATAAAAGTACTCTAGAGAACATATAGATCTATGATCTGGGGAACAATAATATTTAAGGGACACACTGTGATCTTGCAGAACTACTGTAATGGAAAGAAAGGGGGCAGATATATAGCTTTTGGCATTACTATCTTTTATTCATCTCAGTAAATTCTACTGGAAAGGACATGGAGAGGCATTGGTATTTGGTCTAGGAAAAAATAAATCGTCTAGCTCTATTATTTTGCCGTGTGTGTGTGTGTGTGTGTGTGTGTATGTTGTTGTTGTTTTTGAGACAGAGTCTCACTAAGTTGCTTAAGGCCCTCGCTAATTGCTGAGGCTGGATTTGAAGTTGTGATTCTCCTGCCCCAGCCTCCTGAGTCACTGGGATTACAGTTGCTGCCACCATGCTCAGCTGCCCTGTGTGATTTTATTTGCTAAAATAAAGGTGTTTTCAGAAGCCCTGCCAAGTAACCAACATCAAACTAACTACCAATTTCTCCAACCAAAAACTACACAAAACTTAGATATTTATGGTAATAAGAATGTAATATTTCAACATTGTTAGGCTGCTGCATTAGAAAATTTTGTGGCAATGTATAAACTGAAAAATCCAACTTAAAATTCTAAATAGTGAACACAGTTTGTAGAAAGAGTTCCTAAAAAAATTTCAATTCACTACAATGCTGATTTAGAAAGATAAAAGATGGGAACAGGTAACAAAATCAAAATTCATGGATTATAGAGTTCAAGACAAATGATAATAAAATTCAAAACTATTAGAAACTGTTTTCTAAGGGACATACAGACATTACACAATTAAACTAATAATTATATAATGATGCTCTGAAGATTTTAGTATTGGAGAAAATCCATGCATTAAACTAATAACAAAGACACTGAAAGATGGATTACATTAAACTCTAATTGAGCCGACTAAATATGAAAAGTAAACATTTCAAATAAGTATATTACCCTCTTTTCCTCACCTCATCATTTTCATTGCCACTTGAACTCTTCCTCGCTGATTTATACTGAAAAACATTTAAAATACATTATTTTTCTTGAACATGTGAATTCTCTACTAATAAATTATATGTGAGATTTATTCATATTTTGGTACTTTATTAAATTACCTAATATTAACCTTAAGCATATAACCAGCTTAAACCATTCTACTGTTAACATAGATAATGCTTTCTGCATGTAAGGCACTGTTCTAAGTACTTTAAATATAGCAAGCAACATTCCTTCCTAAGCCAATTGCACTTCCTATTCATTCAGGTTTAAGATCTGAGTGTTGTCTTAGAATCTTCCTCTTTCTTATTTCACTATATTCAACTCATCATCAACTCAATTCATTTTGCAATCTCCGACTTACCTCTTCTATGTTTACAACTACCACACTATCCCAGACTCTCATAATCTCTCACCTGATCTATAATCTCACTATTCTAAGATGCCATCTATTGTCAATAAATCTATTAATTTCAAGTTTAAAAAGAGAACCGAATTAAATGTATATAATGATTATACAGTAATAGTAATAATGACAATAGCTAACATACTAGTGCTTATTATATAGCAGTGCTGACTGAAGTACCTTATAATCTTCCCAAAAGTGCTATTTAATCTTCATAACAACCCTATATATCCCAAGTACTATTCTCCCTGTTTTATAGTGAGAAACAGAGATAACGTGCTCAATATATATTAAAAAATGGTAATATGTGACTAAATGCTTTTTAGAATTAAGGAAATACAGTAGACAATCACTGTAGTTTTTATTTTCTAATTCTTTCACATTGTAAATGATCCTAAAAATCAGTGGTATATTAATCTTCTGCTTACAACTCATGAGTGTCTTACTGAAAAGCTCTTGAGTTTTCAGGTATGTACAAATGTTTTGCATGCCATTATTTACCGTCCCCTTTATTTATGCAGCATTATCTCCCATGAGCCTTGGAAAAATAGATAACCTACCTGATATCAACCACAAACTGGGGAGTGAGTTGTGTTAGGAATTACAAATACAAAACATCCATTTCTGTCCTGTCTCCTTTGACAACTATGACTAATTACTCTTACCAGCTGATCCTAGACACAGACTCAAAATATACTTTCAACCCAGTGTTCCAAAGAGCCATTGGATAAAATTGGCATGTGTGAAAAAAACCTATTTGCCATCCCCATGGCAAGATGCTTTGATGGAGTCAATTATTTTTAGTTTTATTCTACTTCAAAGAGACAGTGATGTTTAAGTGAATAACAGGTAATATTTGTGAAGTGATTACTCTGTGGCAAGAGCTGTTCTAAGCACTGTATATTATTTTAAAAATTAGTTGTTATAACAGTCCTGTGAAGGAATGTACAATCAGACTCATTTGTAGATGAAAAATAATAAATAACAAGACTACAAAACTTCCAAATTCACACAGTTAGTAGGTTGATTCTAAAAGCTCAGCCACTATGCTATACCCCCATTTTCAAATCCTGAATGATTACTAGCAATTTGCCAGGAATAAAGAGCTAATGGGCATTGTCAAAAGAGGGAAAGCACAAAGAAGTAAAAAGCACAGTCTATGTACAAGACAACGAGTAATACAGTGAGGCTACTGGGGAGAGTGAATTGTGGCAAGTCACCAAATGTAAAAAAGCAGGTAAGAAATGCCCCACGAAGATTTTGAGAAGTCCAAATTTTATCTAATTATAACACGGAGCCAATAAAGAAATATACAAAAGGGCTGGGGATGTGGCTCAAGTGGTAGCGCGCTCGCCTGGCATGCATGCGGCCCAGGTTCGAGCCTCAGCACCACATACAAACAAAGATGTTGTGTCTGCCGAAAACTAAAAAAAAATAAATATTAAAATTCTCTCTCTCTCTCTCTCTCTCTCTCTCTCTCTCTCTTTTTAAAAAGAAAGAAAGAAAGAAAGAAATCATCACAATTTCTCAGACAAGAAAGTATGAGGTGCTGGGCATGGTGGCACACACCTGTAATCCCTGCGGCTTGGGACGCTGAGGCAGGAAGATCAGGAGTTCAAAGCCAGCCTCAGAAACTAGTGAGATGCTAAGTAACTCAGCAAGACCCTGTCTCTAAATAAAATACAAAAAAGGGCTGGGAGTGTGTTTCAGTGGTTAAGTGCCCCTGGGTTCAATCCCTGGTACCAAAAAAAAAAAAAAAAAAGAAAGAAAGAAAGTATAAGGGTTCCAACAAAAGTAAGGGAAGTAAAAACAGACATTAATTGGAAAAATGATAATATAATTAACATAATTGTGACTGATCGGGTGAAGGGAATAAAAGAGGGGGGAAAAATCAAGGAAGACTGAGGAATACAGCTTAGATATACCTGGGGATACAACTAGCATTAATCAAAATAAAGAAGAGAGGAGAAACAAGTTCAATCATGAGGGGATAAAGGGAGAAGAAATACTGAATTTTAAAGTACATGCAAGCATCTAGACAATTAGAAATATAGGCTTAGAGACTAGATAAAACTTATGGATGTAAATTTAGACTCAGTAGAATATAACCAACATCTAAAGTCATTAACAATCCAAGACATATTTTAGAGTCATAAAAAGAGGATTAAACCCTAAGAGTAAGCAGAAGAAAAGTCAAACAAAACATTAAAAAAAAAAAAAAAACAGGGGCTGGGGTTGTGGATCAGTGGCAGAGTGCTTGTGTGAGGTACTGGGTTCAATTCTCAGAACCACATAAAAATGAATAAATAAAATAATGGTATTGTGTCCATCAACAACTTTAAAAAATAACAGAAGAGGGCTGGGAATATAGCTCAGTGGTAAAACTCTTGCGGGGCATATGAGACCTTGAGCTCAACCCTCAATACTACAAAAAACAACCAACTAACCAACCAAAAAGATAAAAGAAAGATCAGGGAAGAAAAATGAGGTAGAAACCAAGAAAGGAGCTTTAAGAGGAAAATTTGGCCAATATTGTTAAATATTATACTGGATTTTGCTGTTAGCAGGTACGCGTTAACCATATTTCAATCCAAAAATGGAGATGAAAGTCAGACTGTAGCGAGTGAAGGAGTGATCAGAAACTGAAGAACTAGAAACGACAAGTTTTGACTTAACAGACAGCAAAGGCAACAGCTGAAAAGGGAATCAGGGATAATGGTACTGGGACTCAGAAAACACTACCCAAACTAGGGCATCCTAGGGGTCACTCTCTCCAACCTTCTCCAGCCCTCCTTTCTTTGTCTCTCTTTCTCCTCCAAAGAAGATCACAGAAACTAAATTCCTCTCCCCCATAGCAATGCATAAGATCTGAAAAGGTCACTCTCTTGACCTTCTTCCCTGAAGACCCTCATGTGACAGGCATCCAACCACATACTGGGTAAGGAGGAATATCATATAGAGACACAGGAGAGAGTCTGAACATGAGGCCTTCCTGAGATACCCCCCAAGTTTATTACCATCAGATTATAACCCTATCTGTCCAGTCATGTTTCTGGACGACTATCCACTTCTTTCATCAGACTGAGTATAAAAATACAGTTTTCCCTCAGTCTTTGGGTCTTCATTTCTGAAGGCTCTGTGTCACATAAAACTTTTGTTAAATTTGTTATCCTCTTCTCTTGTTGATTTGTCTTTTGTTATAGGGATCTCAGGAATGACCCTTGCAATTGCTGAGGAAAGGTATTTTTTCCTCCCCTATAGTAGAAGTTTGAACATATTTACAAAGTGAGAAGTGAAGAGATAGAACACAAAAGAGTGAGTAGATAATTGAAATGCAAAGAAACACAGGATGTTACAGTCAAGGCTTAGATAATGGTAAATGTATTACTGTTACTTAACTACTACTCTAAATAAAAATTTCATTACACATAAAAACTCATATTCTAAATTTATATAACTGTACATATTTAAAGGTCCAATAGCTAAAACCGTAGCTATATACAGAGATTTTAAAATATTCTGTAAGTCAATTTTTTATTAATTCAATTCAGCTATCCCCCATTGGTATTAGTCTGAATTACTAAAGTTTTATTATATCTGAATTCAAATATTACAATAAAGGCTTAGTTAACAAACCAGAGACATAGAAAGGTCAGTTCATCTATGAAGCTTATATTAATTTCACAGGAGAGATAATTTGTGTACAAATTATTTCTCACAACAAATCAAGTTATTTTACAAACCCAGTGCAGAATAAAACTTCCCCAGTACAGCATAAAATCAACAACAATTACAGAAAAAAATATAAAAATATCTTCCTTGAGGTTAGCCTTTAAATGAAGATACTATACTATATTCATGAAAACACTATGTATTTTAAGAGTCATTATAATGGTTATTTTAATTTTTTTTTTTAGTTGTAGGTGGACACAATACCTTCATTTTATTTTTATGTTTTGCTGATGAAACCCAGTGCCTCACACATGCCAGGCGAGTACTCTACCACTGAGCCACGACCCCAGCCCCCATTATAACGTTTTGTCACAATAGGAAAGAGATACATTTAAAGACATGTGGCATTTAAATATATTAAATAATATTTTAAACTAACTTGGTATAATTATTCTAATACCTTTTTTGTTTAAAAATCTATCATCAAAAGCATTTGGAAATTCATGTGTTATTCTTACAAGAAATCAAAGCTACTAATTTACATTAAACATTATCAACAAAGGATTAGATTTTCATACTGTTACGCATCTTCTTAAGATAATATTAATGAAATTCTGTAAAAGATTTTTAATAAAGTAATGTATTTCTGGGAATGCTTTTACTTTGAAAATGCAGTGGTTTTATTTTGGCTACAAAGACACTAAGTTATACCTGCAAGAATAGTAATCTATTCAACAGTGGCCTGGGAATCATCTAAAAAGTACTAATTCATCTTCTGTTCACATAACATGGCCAATATGTTAAAACATTTTTCCCTTAGTCTTAGAGGCTAACCTAAAAAACACATTACCCTAAATTAGTCTTGGCAACTAAGAAAAAAATGGAGAGCTGAATTTCATACACACATGCATGCACACACCCAAACATGCACACTTGTGTATGTATACACAAACACTGTCAAAAAATATAATTAGTAACAGCATCGTGAATGATTTACCATTGGACAGATATAAATCCTGTGGCTTAGTTATTTATACATGTTAGGAAAAAGTTGCTCAAAAGCTCTGTATGTTTCATAACACAGCAAAGCTAAAGAAGCTATTACCCACCCTCTCCCCTGTGACAATTTGATATAAACTTCTAGAGTACTGTATTTTAGTTTAATAATCTATAGTTCCAGATTAGGTTTAACTACACACATTAGAAAACCTTTTTGAGGGCTGGGGTTGTGGCTCAGTGGCAGAGCGCTTGCCTTAGCACACGTGAAGCACTGAGTTCAATCCTCAGCACCACATAAAAATAAACAAATAAAGCACACGTGAAGCACTGAGTTCATCCACAGCTACAAAAATATTTTTTAAAAAAACCTTTTTGATTCTTAGGGATAGATTATTAAGAAAAATTTCCTTTTTGTCTCTGAAAGAAAGATACTTCATAGAAATGGCTGATAATGTTTTAATCATGAAAATATTGACAATAATTATAGTTATGACCTTTCTTTCTTCCTTTCTTCCTTCCTTCCTTTCTTTCTTTCCTTCGTTTTTTTCTGATGGTGGAAAATAAGCCCATGTTTTCATGCTCTACCACTGAACTATATCTACAGTCCCATTCAATTTTATATTTTCTTGACATCATAGAAAAAAATTGACATACGCCATTTTTGCAATGTTCTCACACTGACATCTTCTGACAACTCAGGAGAACTACATATCTCTTTAAAACATTTTGCAGCAACTGAACCTTATCTTTGAACCTACTTTATCAAGTAAGAAAGAAATGAACATATATTCAATGATGGTTATGCAATGGGGACTTCAAATATTATCCTATTTGCTCTAGCAACTTCATAACATAACCAACATTGTAAGCCATAAAAAGAAAATATTTATCAGCAAATTATGCTATTAAGCCAAAAAATTATCTGTTAAAGGAACACTGAGGCCTCTGTTAAGACTTTATTGAGAAGAGCACTTTAGTTACTGTAAAATATTTTTAAAAGCAGGGAACTGTATTAATTTTGAAGTGTTTGTTCATTTGATACTAGGCTATCCAAAGTAGATAAAGAAGCAGCGTAACATAAGCTCTAAGTTCAAGGTAAGTGACCTAAGGCATACTGCTTAGCCTCCCTGTGTATTAATTTCTCCATCTATAAAATAGGAATGATAATAACTGTGCTTAACTCAGTTGTTTAGGGTTGTTTAGAAGACTAAATTAGTTAAAGCACTTAAAACAGTGCCTGGCACTCAGTATTTGTTATGCAAATGTTTTGAAAAAAATTCAGAATTGGTATGATTTTACTATATTAGGATAAAGAAGATCAAATAAATATCAAATCTCTTTCATTACTTAGAAATACTAAAATTTCTCCCACATAATCAATTATCCATCCAGTTTTATGTATAAACGAATTTTATTCAGTGCCTTGGTTCAAGTTTTCATAAATTATAAACGGGAACTTTAAAATAAATGCCAGGGACTTGGAATGCGGCTCATTGGTAGAGCACTTGCCTGGCATATGTGAGGCCCTGGGTTCAATCTCCAGCATAGATAGATAGATGCCAGAATGTAAATATAAGTACAAATCTATAAAGGGTTGGGATAAATAGCCTTTCACTATTACTGACCAGGATTCTGTTTAGAATGTTCTTCTCTTTTTTTCTCGTGTTTTTTATTTCTTCATTATCTCTCATACTGGCCAATTCACACAAGGCTCATTAAAAGAACTCAGTAGTTATTTATTGAAAGCTTAAACTTGTCACAGATTTTCTAAGACATATAATATTTTTGTTTTGGTCATATGATAGAACTTGCAAATATATGTTAGACTCCTACATATGAAAACAGATCAGTGTGCATTTAGAAACCTATTTCTACCAAATAGAAATATACAAAATAAATCCTATGTAATAGTGATATACACTGAATTCCCTACAGTATAGCTAAGTACTATGCATTCAAATAAAACTATCATTAGACTTGAATTATGCTTTGGGAAATAGAAAAGGTGCAAAGACAGCAAAATTTGCTATTCATGAAGCAGGACCAAGTCTGTGCTGCTCGTTCAAGTCAAATGTCAAAAATAAATTTTGCTTAGTATGCAATTTATTCCAAATTCTGATGGTTGGCCTCTGCAAATATAGCAGACTTTAAAAACAAATAGATAACATTATAATATTTACAAGGGTATCCACATTAAAATTTTATTAAAACCCAACTACCTAGAAATTTGGGATAATTCGGATACTCTGGGGTTTTACTTCTGCTAAGATGAAAGACCCTCTTAAGAAAACTACTAAGATAACAAGAAGAAAAGAAAATGGATGAAACTCTTCTCAAACATGTTTAAAGCCACATGAATAGCATTCATTTACATAGAAACAGTTATATATTAATTGTAAACATGTCAACTATTTGTTGACAAATCCAATAAGTCCTTTCCCGAACAATTATTTTCTTTACTTATTTATTTTATGGTATCAGAGATTGAACCCAGAGGTACTTAACTACTGAGCTACAACTCCAGTTCTTTTTTTTTTTTCATATTTTGAGAGAGAGAGTCTCACTAAGTTGCTGAGGGCCTCAATACGGTGCTGAGGCTGGCTTTGAATTTGTAATCCTCCTGCCTCAGCCTCCTGAGCTCCTGAGATTACAGGTGTGAGCCATTGCACCTGGCTTGAACAATTCTTTTAAAATGTATATAAATTTCTACACTTAGCAAATATTCATCTATCTTATAAAGTATTAGGAAAATTATAATTCATACTGACACACTCTTAATTACTTTGAACTATTGAAACTTTATGGCTATAATTAGATAGTACATCTGTATCACCTACATATGGGAAATTAAAATAAACACATTTACTACATTTAACTAGAACATTATACCTTATTAACTTAAAAATTATAAAACCAAAATTAATAAATACAAAGTAAATTTAAAATTTTAATAAAGTACCTTGAAATATTCTTTTCTAATCTGTTTGCTTCGCCTTCTTTCTTCACTTTGCCAAATTATAGGTTGAGATTCTGGCCACTGTTGTTCATCTAATTGATCCTTCTGATTTTCTAAGGGCTATAATGAGACAATTTCTTTTAAATAAACAAATAAGCACAAAATAATACATATGTACATATATTTGCAAATTAATTTCTTCTTACCTGCCATGTAAGGGGTGATAATGGTGAATTAACTTCATCTGTTGAGACACTAAAAAAATTAAAGATGCTTTAATATCTCTTAAAATATTTAGAAAAATCTTCATTATGAACATTATAAAGTTGTCTTTTTAAAACCAGAATGTCAAGGCTTTATCCATGTATATGCTTTGAACTAATAACATAAAACTTAAAGTTGACAAAACATATTGTTCCTAATAACAATTGCTCCTCAGGAAATATCAAAATGGGCTTATTTTATATGAACCTTATGCATAAAGCTACTCCAAGGACTTTTTAGAGGCTGTTATAGTTTGGATCTGAGATATCTCCCAAAATGCTCATGTTTTGAAGACATGATCCCCAGAGCAAAAAGGTTCATTGATATGGCTTTTAGGCAATGATTAAGGCTCATCAATGGATTGATCCATTTGATGATCCATTGATAGCTGAATGGATGACTGTGTGGCAACTATAGATAGGTGGGGTGTGGCTGGAGGAAGTAGGTCACTGGGGGCTTGGCCTTGGGGACTATATATGTACCTGGTCCCTTCTTGTTTCTTTCTCTGTTTCCCTGCTTCCATGAGCTGAGAAGCTTTCTTCTGCCACAATATTCTGCCTAAATTAAGCCCCAGAGCAATGGAGCTGACTGACCATGGACTGAATCTCTAAAACCATGAGCTCAAAATTAACATTTCCTGCTCTAATTTGTTCTTGTCTGGTATTTTGGTCACAGCAACAAAAGATGAACTAACAAAAAGGCCAAATATCCAGAGACAATCAATCAAAGGAAAGATAGGGTATTTATTATATCAAAATAAATTACCAAAGACTAAAAAAAAAGGAGTTACTCTTTTTTGCCTACTGAATTTCTGATTGTGAGTTTCAACCCCTTCATTCTGACACAACAGGAGCTATAAAGGAAAATTTTTTTTCATCTAGTTTTTCTTTGTTGTTGGAATGAGGTAAATTGTGCAGCTTGTTGTTAGATGGCAGATTTGTGCATAAATTCCACTGGAAAAAATATAAACAAAATGTCCACTAGAGCTGAAATTATTTAACACTTGGTTACTTCTGTACAGTACAGTAAGAAAAACATATAAAAATTAGGAAGAATCAAATTTCTAAAAATTTATAGGGCACAAGATTACTCAAGAGGAAAAAAATCTAGTCTTACAATCTAGTATGAAACTATAATTAAAGAAAAACATACAAAAGTTAATAGCTTTCTTTCACATCAACTATTATGACTTACAAAGTATATTTTAAAAATCCCATTCATAAAAGAAAGGAAAAGTATAAAATACCTAGTAAGAATCTTACTTACATATGTACAAGACCTACATAATAAAACTGCAAATGTTTAGTAAAATTCTTTTTTTGGTACCAGAAAATGAACTCATGGGCACTTGACCACTGAACCACATCCCCAGCCCTATTTTGTACTTTCTAAGAGACAGAGTCTCACTGAGTTGCTTAGCACCTCGCTAAATTACTGAGGCTGGCTTTGAACTCAGGATCCTCCTGCCTCCACCTCCAAAGCAGCTGGGAATACAGGTGTGTGCCACTGAGCCTGGCCTCTAGTAAGAGTCCTGAATAATTTAAATGTTCTTGAAGGAAAACACTAAACATTATAGGTAAACTTCTTTTTCAAACCAATTAAGAACTGAAATGAACTGTAATGATAGGGTCTTGATTTAACATCTAAGCAGCCATCTTACTGTTAACCGCCATCTCATAAGTTTCATTTTCCTGTCCTCTTACCTGACTGAACCTTCCCCGCCCCTGTGAGTGACCTACCCCATGGTACCATAACCCTAAGCCAATTCCAGGAGGACAGGACCCCTGGACTCTGGAGAGCCCCATGGTGCCATCAACCTAAGCCAATCCCATGCTATTCCCACCCACCTAGCTCTGCCGCAAGCATCCCCAGCCTATCCCACAGCGCCACAGCTACAACTCAAAACCCCTACCTCACAAAAGCTCAGCACCCAAACATGTGGGAGCCTCTCTCCACTCTATAGAGGGATGGCCTTTATTTGTCAGCTTTGACAAATAAACCTTTGTGTGGATCTCTGCCTGTTCTCCATCTGTCCTTCATTTCTCGCTCGCCCATCTCTCGCTTTCTCACTTTCTTTTCAGTAATAATTTTTTTAAGACCTGAGAAGTATTTTTTACTTATTTTAGAAATTTGACAAAATAATTTCAGAGTTAATTCAATGATTAAGAAAAGAATCAATGATTAAGAAGAGAAAACTTATAAAGGGGTAAATTATAGTAATAATGGAGCTAGGGGTTAGCTCAGTGGGAGAGCACTTGCTCACCACATGCCAGGTCCTGGACTTAATCCCAAGCATTGCTAAAAAAGAAGAAGGAGGAGGAGGAGGAGGAGGAGGAGGAGAAAGAAAAGAATTAAAAATTGAAATTACAGTAGTAAAATTAGTGCTGGCTCCAGAATCTATAGTTTTTCAATGAAATAAGATCACAGGACTACAAGAACTACAAATTTAACAAATTATGATATAAATCACTGAAGAAATGATGGATTGTGTAATAAATAGTTCAGAAATAACTGGCTGACTACTTGTAAAACATGCAGAAAGAAAGGAAGAAAGACAAAAGAATAGTACATAAGAAAAGGAGGAAGAAAAGAAGGGAGGGAAAAAACCTAAATTCCTTACCTCATATCCAAAATCACACTTAATGAATTAAAAGATTTAAATAGAAATAAACATGAAACCACAAAAGTACTTGAAAAATATGGGCAGTAGCTGGACACAGTGGCACTCATCTGTTGTCCAAGCTACTTGGGAGGCTGAGGCAAGAGGACTGCTTGAGCCTGGAAGTTTGAGGCAAGTCTAGGCAACATAGCAAGACTTCCATCACAGTAAAAAGAGCAGTAATTTTTCAAATGTTGGTATGAAGAGAGCCTACGGTAGAAACCATGAAAACCAAACACTAAGAGATGTAAGTATATAAAAATATAAAAATTATGGGGCTGGGACTGTGGCTCCGTGGTAGAGCACTTGCCTAGCATGTGTGAGGCCCTGGGTTTGATTCTTAGCACCACCATATAAATAAATAAATAAAGTCCATTGACAACTAAGGAAATATAAATATATTAGACTACCAGACTGCATGTATAACTCAGTGGTAGAGTACTTTCCTAGCATATGCAAGGCCCTAGGTTTGATTCCCCAGCACCAAAAAAAGACTTTACTTCTGGCCAAGATATAATAAGAGTGACCAAAACTAAAAGAACAAACAAAATATGGGGCTGGGGATGTGGCTCAAGCGGTAGCGCGCTCGCCTGGCATGCGTGCGGCCCAGGTTTGATCCTCAGCACCACAAACAAACAAAGATGTTGTGTCTGCTGAAAACTAAAAAATAAATATTAAAAAAAATTCTCTCTCTCTCTTTAAAAAAAAAGAACGAACAAAATATATAAAATTATGCTTTCTGAGACACATTGAATACCAGGTTTTAAAAAAAAAAGACATTATCCCTTAAGAGATGGGTAATAAACAAAATGAAAGACTTGTTAAAGTTGCTACTTGGAGAGTGTTTCTGAGGCCACAGCCAAGACAGGGTAAATGAAGGTGAAGGCAGAGCACCAACACTTCCTGAATTAGGAGAAAGAACAATAATACAAGAGTTCACAGAACAGAGTAACAAAGCAAAGGACAATGCAGAGAGAGAGAGAAAGAACTTCCTTCATATTTTCAGCCAGGTCCTAATCAGTGACATATGTGAGGAATATACCTTAGTCAAAAGAATGAGATAACACCAGAAGAATAGAAAGAATAATTCCCAGATTCACAGAGGACCAGGAGTACTACCAGTTCCCACCAACCAGATTGGAAAATCTTCTAATTCATGAGGTATCAGGTGGAATATTAAGAAAGGTCTTGCCTTAATGGGAGCAGGGGAGCAAATTTAGTCCTAGACTAAATGTTGCACTGCTCCCACATAATAAATCATAAAGCCAGATCCCCAAAATATCAAACTGTTTCTAAGTAATTACCATATCCCAGAACAAAAGTTAAGAATATTTATGGTAATACTATAATATCCAAACCTAAGAAGGCAAAGTTCACAATGTTTGGTATTCAATAAAAGTTTCAATCTAGTGAGAGGGCAGCAGAATGATCAAACACTGAGAGCATCCTAATGTCCTATGAGCACGTGAAACTTAACTTCAATGACATGAAGAATATGTCAGAGATCTTCAAAGAGAACAAGAAAGGCACTGTCTACCTTACCCCTTACAGGGTCAACTTTCTGTCCAAGGGGAAGGAGGCCATGCAGTCCTTCATGATACCATTTTATCTCATGAAGGACTGTGAGATCAAGTAGCCTGTGTTGGTGAAAACTGCCAAGGGAACAGCAAAGGCTAAAACTGGAGGTGGCTGGGAAGGCTCTGCTACAGACAATTTGACCTTCACAACAGGGGGCACCATCGAGTTTAGTCAATGGATTCTCCAGATGGCATTTCAAGCCCCAGAAGTGAAGCCCTCAATGGAGCCTATGGGTACCCTTAATGCCTAGTGGGGCCTGTTTTTCCCCCACCAGTTGCCAATGGAATATACACTGCCCCCATCTCATTTCTATTCAGGACACCCTCTGAAGGATGGGGCCATGGGATATGTGAAGCTTCCGCTTCCACCTTATCCTAGACCCATGAAACTATAGTCAGCAGCCCTGATGTCCCCTCCACTACTGCAGCCATGGCCAAGCCCATAGAAGTAGCTACCAGCGCCTATTATAACCTGGGCAACCCACATAATGCCTCCATGCCCACAAGCTAGCCTCTTCCACCTCCCTATTATCCTCTGGAAGTTAAGACCCAGTAGGCCCCACCCACCTCCCTGCCCTCACCCTCAGGGGCCTTTCCCCATCTTTTTTTGCAGGGCAACATCTGCCCTGGAGGATGCCAGGGAGGGCCTTGTCCTTCCCCAGGTCTGAATATAAAAAGTTAACAGGAACTAGCCAGGGATAGTGGCACAACCCTATAATCCTAGCAGTTTGGGAAGCTGAGACAGGAGGATTAAG